AGTTCTTTAGCAGCATTTAATCCACAATCCTGTCTTTCCTCGCCATATGGTGGTGTGTGTTTTATTTTTGGGTGGGGAGACGGGTGAAGTACCCCGTGCCTCAAAACCAGTATATATTTTTGAGAGATGTGGTAGTAAAAAAAGAAAAAAAGCTTTTCCTTTCATAGAATTCTTTAAAAGAAGCTATCCGCAGCTTGCATTAAGTTATTCTATAAGACTAGACTGAGGAGCAAATTATGACTATTTAACCCAAAGAAACCTCTTTGTCTAACACAAATAAGAACAGCTACAGAGAGGACTTTGCTCTCTCAACTTTAGAAAAGTAAAGAGACATGAAACAATTCCTTGTGGGATTCCTAAAATCTTTTTGCTGATATTCCTCACCAGCTAATATAACAGAATAAAATAGCATACTTATCCATGTTTAAGAACCAGCTAATCCTAGAAGCATAACTACTTGGGTTTCAAACAACCTATGGGAAAGGTAAATAGTACACTTCGGTTTTGCTGTTAAAAAAAGGACAAAACATATCAGACTAAGCTGCTTCTTTGATGTGAACATTCAAAACTTCATAGACAAAAGAGCTTGTGGAGCAAGCCCAACATTGGGATGTGCTGGTACCAAATAGGCATTCATGCCTTGACTGAAAAGATGCCTCATCTGCTTCAAGGTTCTTTGGCATCAGTTAGGTAGTTAGGTCTTATCACTGTAGAAGGATTTCCATTGTACTGCAGTTCTTAAAGGTAACTGTTTCTTTCACTTTGGTCTGTATTTCATTATATGCTCATCAGAACAGCCCTTGCAAGAAATGTCAGTCCACTGCTTTCTTAGTGGGAGAGTCCTAGCGACTGTAGAAGGTGAAAGGTAGCACCCAAAGCCCAGCTTGTCTCTATGTTATTTACTTTCTTTGCCAGCTGAAAAGGAAAAATAAGAGATCTGATTCACTTGATGATACAGACATTTTTTTAGGTTGAATAAATTTTTTAAAATATAAATCTACATGGATTTGACAAGATGGCTATCATAATTACAAAGCAGCCACTATACCAATATTTTTTAACATAATGGCACCCTTCATGTAAGAAGATTTGAACAACTTTATGTTGGACACAGTTCTGATCACCATTCAAAAAAGGATACATACTATAAAACTGAAAAAATTGCAGGAAAGGAAGATCAAATAATCAGAAAAGTAAGATGGACCTACTGTGAAGAAACTGGTAATTATTTAGCTCAGGCTCAGAAAAGAACTCTATTGAGATATATTA